AGAGATGTTGCTATAGGGTGCATGTGCTTGACAGAGAGACAGACGGCGAGAAATCACCCACCATGGCCACGCCATAGTCTGGTCTCCTCCATTTTCCTCTCAGAATTTTGGGTAAGCATGCACACACATCTGGCATGAGTTTTAAGCTGTCAGGTCTGGGACTCGAACTGTAGTTAACTTCACGGGAATCCAGCAATGTAACCTATATGCCATCTGCTGGTCCCTATAGAATATATTCTAATAGGTCTTCTTTCCTTCCTACTCCCTTTTGCCAATATGGCACACATAGTTCTTGTCCTTGTGTTTATATTCTCATTCTCTCTAAAACTGTTTCTAGATATTTTTCACCAGCTCTCTGTGCCTGTAAGAGGTCCTGTCTCTTATTTTGAGGTCCCTTCTTGTGTCTGCCTCTCCCACAGTGCTGTCATTCCCCCTCTGCACTTACTTTCTGCCCATCTAGTTTCCTTTCCTTCATTTTCCCTCTGGCATTTACTCCCTCTCAGTTTTCTAATCTAGAATCTTCCGTCCCTCTGTTACTTCCTGGTCATACAGTCCAGATACCTGGCAAATTATCCTGGTTAATCCTATATTAAAATCCCTGGTCCTGGGCCAACCAAGATGGCTGATCACTTTTTAAGTTACCTGGAAAAAAAGATATTGAGGTCAAAGTAGGGGAAGAGTAACTGGATTCAGTAATACCTTGCTGTATTGTTTGTTCTTAATTAGTCCCTGTTGGGACAGAATCCAAATACTAATAAACAAATAGGGATCATAACAAATTATTAGCAAGGTTCCAATTACCTGAGAGACCAGAAAAACCAAGCATGTGAGTGAAGGAGAATTTGAAACTGAGTGTGATGAGTTAGTCATTAGCGCTATAGGCCATGAAGACTGTGGACAGCCTCAACTACCATACATTCCACCTAGGAGAAAATAGGATACCTTTTGCACTGAGGAGTTAGAGTTGAGTAAAAATCATTGTCTGGTGGGGGTCAGCTGGTGGTGGTTAAGGGGCTGGATTCCATGTAACTGTGTGATTCAGGTCCTGGATCTGGTAGCTTGAGAAACACACCAGGTACATGTGTGTGTGCTCAAAATCCCAAGAAGAGACTGGAAAAGAAGGAATTGTGGTGTGGCCATTTTTCTTCTGGGGGGCTGTTTTCTTACTTTTCCTCTCTGTCTGGCAAGTGTATGTGCCCTGTAGCAAATTTTTAAAAAGTATTAAAAAAAATTTAAAACAGTGTATGGATAAAATAGTTCACTCCAGAGAAACTGACAAAACAGGAGACACTGGGAACCAGCAGTTAGCGTAATGGCTATGTCGCTGGACTCCCACGTAGGCGACCGCGGTTCGTGTCCCGGACCCGGTGGCTTAAAACTCACACCGGGCGCGTGTGCGTGCGTGCCCAAGATCCCGAGAGGAGAATGGAGGAGAAGGGATTGCGGCGTGACCATCCCCCCTGGGGGGTGATTTCTCTCTTTCTGTCTCTATGTCTCTCTCTGTCTATCTGGCGAGCGCACGTGCCCTACAGTGAGAATCTCTCAAAAAAAAAAAAAAAAAAAAAAGGAGACACTGAGGAGGTAACGACCGTTCTAGCTCCCGGGAAGCGTTGTGGGAGCTGAGTAGTCACACCAGTCTGAGTTACAGGTCTGAGGACTTTCCGCTGGGAAGCTGACTAAACTGGGAGTTCTACCAAGCGATCAATTGGTCCTTCCCATCTTTCTCCGACTTTCACGTGTGTTCTTATCCACAGCTAATTAGAGAAATAAGGGCTTAATCCTTGATCAAAACACAAGCTCCACCCACCCTTTTATGATGCTATTAAAAGCATCATTCATTCCTCTTTGATCTTCAGATAGTCTTGGAAGGTGCCAGTATCTTTGGTAAAAGGTGACTCTATAATATAATCTTTGCTAAAATGTTAACGGATGATAACTGATGAAGTAAGGTATTATCTTAAGACCCACATGAAAAATTAGTTATCCTTCCACTTCCTCTGTGAGAGAGGATTCTTACTTCCAGAAACACATAATGCATGATGGTTATTTGGCAAAGTTAGATCATTCTGAATAGATCACTCATTTCTTTCGTAATTCATCTCTCCTACTGGAAGGCATAAAACAGATTATTAACTGATGAAGGGAGTTGGATTCAAGACTCTCAACAAGTCACGTGGAAAGTCAGACTAAACCTTTCTTCTTTGCCTTCATTTCATAAGCTGCTTATTGAGCATTTACCACGTGGCATTCTGTTTGGTGTTACAGATAAAAATACAGAAACAATGGAACTCCTCTAGAGAACAAAGAAAAAGAGTCTTTAAAAGAAGAATGATATTAGGTGATAAGCCTTGCAGTGCAGACTGTTTGCCTTGGTGGTCTTATTCAAGGCAGTATGGGGAAGACAAGGGCTTTTAAAAGAAAAATGAAGCAGGGTTACAAAAGTTGTTTTGAGAAAATTATCCTTGGCTATGAAGATCGATAACAAGGGTGATGTCAGTCTGGGTTTGACAGTTTCTGGGCAAATGTTCTCAGAGTATTTTTTTGTGTAAGGTTGCAGTGGCCTTTGTAGAAGGCTGTGGTTCTGGCAGAGTCCTTGTGACAGTTGTTCGGCATACATACATGAAAACGCCCTCTTCCTGGCCTTCCCTGGCTCCGCTTATCTATGTATTTGTTAGGACTTTGCCACAGGAGACTCCATTTTTGATACTGACAACTTTCACAGCCTCAAAGAACTTATGCTATGACTATTCGAAAAGAACGTTTATACAAAGAGCTGTAGGAAGGTATTGCGTAATCATATTCAGGTCATGGTATACATACAAAGAAAGGTGTGGCCAGGCCTACTGGGGCTGGGGCAGGGTGGCTACGGGCCTCTTCAGCGATCGAGCTCACTAGCTCTAGAGGGTAAAGTCTGTGACTGATCATTTTTTTCATCATGGTTCTCTATTGCCTGTCACATAGTAGATGCTCAGTGAATACTATGCTTGTATTTTAATTTGCTAGAAGGCGTGTCTGCTTGCCAGAGAGACAGAGAATGAGAGAGGCAAAGTGAGAAAGCACCCTCCCATAGGGCATTGTCATGCCACAATCTCTTCTTCTCCATCTCTCTCTCCTTTTGAGATTTTGGGCATGCACACACATGTGCCCAGAGTGTTTTTCAAGCCACCAGGCCTGGGATTTGAAACACACAGTTGGCCACCTTCACTACCATACCACAGATCTGTGAATAGTTTTTAAATGAGGAAAAGCTGGTGCTGCCATAAAGCATCGTGGATGGGAAGCCATGCAAGGAGTTTATTCCGAGTCACTGTCCTGCATGAACAGGCCCCTGATATCTCCGTCGGCCTCATTTCCCCAGCGCTGCTCCCTCTATCATGCTGAAGAGTTCAGGCTTTATCCTGAAGGCAATGGGACCACAGGAGAGCTTTAAGCAGGGGTGTGGCATGATCAGCTTTGCATGTTGCCAAGATCACTTTGGCTGCAGTGTTAAGGGCTGTAGGAGGGTGACTCCAGCTGGGAGAATCTTTAGATCAGCAGTAGTTCTGTCGGGAGAATGCACACAGGAATCACCTGGTGGTTGGCAAGGTCCCACCCCAGACCATTTCAGTCAGAATTTAGAGCAGATCTAGGCTTAGTGGTATCTACATCCTTCTGGGTGATCCCAATGAGAAGCCAAGGTTGTGAGTCACTAGCCTAAGTTAAGATAGTTGGAGACTGGAAGAAGGGCCCAGAGGCAAGGGCCGTTAGAGGTAGAGGAACAGCATGCCTCACTGCAGCACAGGGCAGTGAAGAAAGGGGAGGAAATGGAACTACTCATGGCTCTGGTTGAAGTCATTCAAATTGAGAAGCAGGGCGCCTAAACCTTCCCAATTCTCCAGCGACTATCATGGTTTTAGCACTGAAGGTCCCTTATCTTGGAGTAGGTGGTCACTCCACAGAAAGGATGGTGACTCCCTTCACCAGGATAGGCAATACAGGATCCTGGTG